GATATAAATATCATCTAAAAATTAATGTCAATATATATGTATTTTAAAGTTTTTGTCATGATAGTAATGGTCATATAGTGTACTAACTAATTCTAGAAAAAGGTTGCAGGGAGAGATCCTGTATACCTGTACCGCTGACCATGAACATTCATATACCTTGCTGTACATGATTTAGGTTTTCTGCAAGAACACACTTAACAGTGACCTTTGAAGTCTCCAAAAAGGAGGATGGGGCCACATAATGACAATTCCACCAGGACTATCGTAACACAGTTAAGATGAACAACACAAACTAAAAATTGGCTTTGGACTACAAACTGCTCAGAACAGTTTTAAGGTGGTTATCCAGTCTCATAGACTACTCTGATGAGGACTTGAGATAAGCCCTGCACTTTCCAATTTTGCAGAGACTGGATAACAAGTGATACAGCTACCACTTCCAGGACTTGAAAATTAACCCCATTTTTTTCTTTCCAGGATCCTCTAAAGATCCTGTAGCCTCCCAGACACCAGGAAGTAAATTTAAGAAGACAACTCCCACATTCCCAAGAGGCGGGGGTGGGTGGTTTTTGGTCATCTGATAGATTATGGGTATTTGTCATTGTTTAGGGAATTAGTTACAAGTTATTATTGGTAATGATCAGGAAAAAAGCTTAATAAAGGAGATTAGATTCAGGGTTCTTGCTCTGAAAAGAAAAAAGGGGGATACAGATATGATAAGATAAAAAGATAATTATTGAATCTAATTTTAAAAAGTAACTACTAGTTTAAATATTTTATATTGGATTGGACTTTTGTAAATTATATACAAATTTTGTATATTGATGCAAATTAGAGACTAACATTGTTCATAGTGTACATACTTTGCTAATCTTGTTCAAGGTATTATACCTATACAACTCATTTAACAATGTAATGCAAATTTCTAGTTCTTGAAAGCTATTATTACCAACTATATAAGATAATAAGGAAATACTGGTTAGTGGTTAGCTACCTGTTACAATCAAAATTGTAGTCATACAATAGTATACTACATAGTATTTTTTCAAGGTAAAACATATATTTTAGAAATACAGGTCATCTTCAAACACTTCAGAGATATACAGAATATGGCATTTAAAAATTATTTTATTTTTTTTACTTTTTTTCCACCATCTTCCACCTCTTCCCACTCCCTACACCTTCCCCTTATCTCACCCCCATATTCTCCTCAGGGAGGGTAAGGCCTTCCATAGGGAGTCAATGAAACCTGGGTAGCCCTCTCCCCCCCCCCCCCAATCTAGGCTGAGCAATGTATTTCTCCATAGGAAAGCGGCTCCAAAAAGCCAGTCCATTCCTTAGGGATAGTTCTCCTTATACCATTGCCAGTGGCCCCACAAACTGCCCAAGCCTCCCACTGTCACTTGTATTCAGAAGGCCTAGTTTGGTCCTTTGCAGGTTCCCCAGCTCTCAGTCTGGAGTCAGTGAGCTCTGGTATAACTATACTGGTATAACCCAGTAGTTTGGGTCAGCTGTTTCTGTGGGTTTCCCCATCATGGTCTTGATCCCTTTGCTCACATTGTCTCTCCTCCTTCTCTTTGACTAGATTCCAGGAGCTTGGTCCAGTGTTTAGTTGTGGATCTCTGCATCTGCTTCCATCAGTTACTGGATGAAGGTTTCAGGAGGACATATTTCCCCTTTCTAGGCAGATCCATGTATGTCTCTCTTAGGGTCCTCTTCGTTACCTAGGTTCTCTGAGGTTGTAGACTGTAGGCTGGTTATCCTTTGCTTTATGACTAATATCCACTTATGAGTGAATACATACCATATTTGTCTTTCTGGGTATGGGTCACCTCACTCAGGATTGTTTTTTCTAGTTCCGTCCATTTGCCTGCAGATTTCAAGATGTCTTTTTTTTTTTTTTTTTTTTTTTTTCTGTTTAGTACTCCATTGTGTAAATATAACACACGTTCTTTATCCATTCTTTGGTTGAGGGGCATCTAGCTTGTCTCCAGGTTCTGGCTATTAGGAATAATGCTGCTATGTACATAGCTGAGCAAGCATCCTTGTGGTGTGAGTGTGCATCCTTTGGGTATTTGCCCCAAAGTGGTATTGCTGGGTCTTGAGGTAGACTGATTCTCACTTTTCTGAGAAACTGCCATACTGATTTCCAAAGTAGATGTACAAGTTTGCACTCCCACCAGCAAAGGAGGAGTGTTCCCCTTACTCCATATCTTCTTCAGCATAAGCTAACATCAGTGTTTTTTATTTTATCCATTCTGACAGCTGTAAGATGGTATCTCAGAAATGTTTTGAGTTTCATTTCCCTGATGGCTAAGGATGTTGAGCAACTCTTTAAACTCAGCCATTTGAGTTTCTTTTGTTGAGAATTCTGTTTAGAACAGTACCCCATTTTTTAATTGTATTATTTGGTATTTCGGTGTCTAGTTTCTTGAGTTCTTTGTGTATTTTGTAGATCAGCCCTCTGTCAGATGTGGGGTTGATGAAGACCTTTTCCCATTCTGAAGGCTGCCATTCAAGGGTACTTCCCATATTCTCTTCTGTGAGGTTCAGTGTGGTTGGATTTATGTTGAGGTCTTTGATTCATTTGGACTTGATTTTTGTGCATAGTTTATCCCTATCTACTTACATTCTTCTGTCGACCTCCAGTTATGCTAGTACCATATTTTGAAGATGCTTTCTTTTTACCATTTCATAATTTTAGTTTCTTTGTCAAAAATCAGGTGTTCATAGGTGTGTGAATTAATATCAGGGTCTTCAATTTGATTCCATTGGTCCACCTCTCTGTTTTTATGCCAATACCAAGCTTTTTTAAATTACTGGAGCTCTATAATAGAGCTTGAAGTAAGGGATGATGATGCTTCCAGAAGTTCCTTTATTATACAGGATTGTTTTTGGCTGTCCTTGGTTTTTTGTTTTTCCATATGAAGCCGAGTATTGTTCTTTTAAGGTCTGTGAATAATTGTGTGTTGGGATTCTGATAGGATTGCATTGAATCTGTAGATTGCTTTTTGTAAGATTGCTAATTTTTACTATGTTAATCCTACCTACCCAAGAGCATGGGAGATCTTTCCATTTTCTGATATCTTCTTTAATTTCATTCTTCAAAGATTTAAAGTTCTTGTCATAAAGGTCTTTCACTTGTTTGTTTAGAGTTACCCCAAGGTATTTTATGTTGTTTGTAGCTATAGTGAAGGGTGATGTTTCTCTGATTTCCTTCTCATATAGAAGGGTTACTGATTTCTTTTGAGTTCATCTTGTATTCTGCCACATTCCTGAAGGTGTTTATCAGAGGTAGGAGTTCCCTGGTAGAATTTTTGGGGTCACTTATGTATACTATCATATCATGAGCATATAGTGAAAATTTCACTTCTTGTCTTCTAATTTGTATCTCCTTGATCTCTTTTTGTTGTCTTATTGCTCTAGCTAGAACTTTTGAGTACTAGATCGAATCGATATGGATAGTGGACAGCCTCGTCTTGTTCCTGATTTTAGTGGAATCACTTTGAGTTTCTCTTCATTTAGTTTGATGCTGGCTCTTGGCTTGCTGTGTGTGATTATCTCACAGCTTATTTTAAATATTTAAAATTGTATTTCTTGTATAAACTATAGTTTCTTTTCTTTTCTTTTCCTTTCCTTTCTTTTCTTTTTTTCTTTTCTATGTTTAGTACAGAAGAGTGACTGAGTATTTTCTCCTGTATTCATTATTTGGGTCTTCTATAATGTGTGCTATTTTAATTGTTTAGAGTACACAAATGACAATATGGACTTTCCAGGTATTCTTGACTAAGAAGAAGAGTCACATGTGTGCAAGTAAGTTCAGTTTATGGTAAAACACATCATTTGTTTGGAGTAAAGAGTAGAGATGATCATTAGGAAAAAAATCTGGACGAAGTTCAACCTCACTGGATTTAACACAGTGAATGAATGATTACTCAGAGATTATGAGGTGTGTGGGGAGGCCTTTCCAACATTGAATGAACAGGCACAGAAGTATGAAACAACAGGCTTTATTTGGGGGAATTATAAATAGTTTGATTAGCTGTCATTGTAGGAAAGGTGGCAAGCACTATGGTAGACAGTAAAAGAGGACTCAGAATACTAGGAGCTAGAAAAACAGTATTAAGGGCTAAAGAGCGGATGTTTCTCCAGCAGTGAGAGGTCTGCCTTTTTGTATCAGCATGTAATTCACACTTCAGAGATCCTATCAGAAGCAAGAAATTTAGCTGAAATAATCCATATGAGGGTTTGAAGCACAAGTACTTGGGGAAGGAACTAAAACAGTGAGAGACGATCATTATTTCTTTGGTTGCTTAGCTTTTCGAGACTGTTTCTGTGTAACAGCCCTAGCTATCTTGGAACTGGCTCTGTAGACCAGGCTGGCCCTGAACTCACACAGATCCACTTATCTCTTGTCTCCCAAGTGTTGGATTAAAGGTGTGCACCACCACATTTGGGCCTATCACTATTAACCGTTTTTGAAAGGTCATGTAACTTTTGGCTTTGATTCAATATTTTAGAAAGCAAATCTCTAGTATAAGTCTTGTTATACAAGTGAATAATATTCCTAATGGGGAATAAAATATACTTAATAGAGAAAAGTTAACCAGCACGTTTCAGTTTTCATGTCTACCCCACCCCTTTGGATCTTAAAACTGTATTGTTTACATGTATGTGTTTGTGTATTTGCTTGTGTGTGTGCACGCGCCTGTGGAAGCCAGAAGAAGGTATCAGATCCCTAGGAACTCAAGTTGGTTACTAATTGTTATGAGTCACCAAAAGTGGCTCCTGGGAATCACACTCCAGTCCTCCGAAAGAACAGCAAGCACTCTTAAATGCCAAGCCATTTTTCTAGCTCTTACTAAGAATTTTTAAAATGTTGTCAGTTTTTTTATTTTTTGATATTCAAATGACTCATGAATTAAAATGATATTAATTACTGACCGTGCAAGCTAGTAACTCAACCTCCTGGTAACACAAAAGGCAGAGATCTTACAAAGTCTTAGACAAATAGCTTTATTATTTATGGGGGATGTTATCAATCATATGCTTCTTCGATACTTGTACAAAAATTTATTAGAATTAGTAATTTCAGAAAACAAAGCTTCACTATCATACCTAATACATAATTTGAATAATAAAATAGCCTCTTTCACTTTTAAATAGAGAAAATTTATATTCATTAGCATGCTTATTGAAAACAATGAAGTATTTCATTCATTAAAAATGTATCAAGAAAATACATAATAAAGTATAATTTGTAGCATAAATATAAGCTAGTAAATTCATTTCCATTACTTACATTATGATTTGCTTTTATAAAGTCTAATATTTTAAATCATTAATAAATGCAGAAATACAGAATTTATTTACAGGATTCTCAAAAATAATGATTCCACTAAATAGTGACTGTCACAGTTGATCAGTATTTTTTCTGCACTCTGGATCCAGTATCAGGAGAGAACCTGGTCCTTGGCTGGCTGTTCTGTAAGAGAGTTTAGAGGGTTCTCATATTGTCAGATCCACAGATGTTAATAGGTCATTCTCCCTCCAGATTATGACTTTTAAGAAGACTACATAGATCAGTGTCAACAATGCTGTGCCTGCTCTCTGTAATAACTCACAATCTTAATGTGTTGCCTTTGGTAGCGTGCTTCAAAGGGGTGTCTGTTGAGCATGTGCATGGTTGTGGTTGTGCATGGGCAGGTGTACTTGTCTATGTGCACCTGGAGCTCAGAGGTTGAATTCAGCCATTTTTTTCTCCTCCCACTTATTTTATTATTTCTGTTTTTGAGACAGGGTCCCTTCACTGAACCTGAGGATCACCATTTTGGCCGACTTACTGGGCAGCAGAGCCCTGAGATTGACCTGTGTCCACTCCTAAGGGTAGGGCCACAGACTATGCTGTTTTTATGTGGGCTGGGATCTGAACTCATGTCCCTATGCTTGTACAGCAAGCACTTTACTCACAGAGCCACCACTGTCTCCAGATCCTTGACAGCAGCTTTCTAAATCCAGGGGTGCTACACCTTGTAACCTCAGCAAGTGAGAGGTGAGAGGCAGGAGGATCCAGACTTCAAGGCTAACTACATGATGCCCTGTCTCAAAACCCACAAAATATGCAGAGGGACTTACGCCATCTGTTGTGTATATAGTATATGTGTGTATATAATAGTTTTTGTCTTCTTCCTTTTTTATTTTAACAAAAACACTTAGAAGTCATGTAAGACCCTAGGAATGTTTAACATATATTTTAGACCGAAGATAAAGTTGTTTCTTAAAAATTCATTAAATTTATTTTGTTTCAAGTCACATGGTAGTGGTGCATGGCTTTAATCCCAGCTCTAGGGAGGCAGAGGCAGGCCGATCTCTGTGAGTTCAAGGCCAGCCTGGTCTACAGAGTGAGTTTTAGGACAGCTAGGACTACACAGTAACCCTGTCTTGGAAAATGAAAGAAGAAAAATTCACTAAGCCAGCATTTGGACCAAATGTAGCTAGATGGTTACCCATCATTAGTGGGTTAGTTCCCATCATGATAAAACTGTTTTTCACAGCTCACTGAAATCTGTGTCATAGATTTGATCTTCTAGGTCACTAATTGACATTTCTCCATAGATTCTGATGTCCTTTGAAGAAAAAAGTACTTAAAATTTGAATTAAACAATGTCTCATAATACACAAATCAAAGTAAAGATACTTAAAATTTGCAAATTTTGAACTCAATACATTTTTGTCAGGAAGAAAAAGTATCACTGGAAATATTACCAAATTAGGTAATATTAGGTAACAAAAAATTTAGGGAAATCCCAAGCTAGTATGAAACAAGTGCTTGCCAACAAGGATGCTCCAAACCTGTGTGCCTGGGGTGCACTGTGCAAACCCTGCTTCTCAGGGAAGGACTACTGGATGAGAGAGCGGGAACAACCTTCCTCTGTCTTGTCAAGATCCCGGGACTCAGGGCACTCAGCCTTTATCCTCTCCTCTCAAAACCTCACAAGGTTCTCACATTAGAAAAGACTTGTGTGTTTTATTCTGTGTGAATGACTGTTCTGCCTGCACATGCATATGTACACCATGTGTAACTGGGTCCCGTGAGGTCAGAAGAGGGCATCTGATCCCCAGGAACTAGCGTTACTGATGACTGGTCCTTGGCAAAAACAAGTGCTCTTAACTGTTGAACTATCTCTCCAGCCCCCTGCGAATGTCTTTACCTCAGTAATGTCTGCATGAAACAACCAAAGGAGGAACTTAGCAAATACTTACCAGAAGTGGTATTAACTGTAAAGTATTTTTGATGGATGGGTTTTTGTAAATGGCTTCTTGTACATCTGAAAAATCATACCATGATACAAAAATAGTTATGTATATAAAGAGAATCACTAAAGAATTAGCAACAAAATTTCAATGTGTCAAAATATTCAAAATTGAATATGACACTCTTTTCCTACTGACTCCAGAAATAGTCCTTATTTGCAAATAGGTCCAAAAAAGAAAGCAATTTAATTAAGAACAATTATAAAAAGCTGAAGCTGGTAAGGGGGATTTTATAAAACAATCTTCATTCCAATGTCATATTTCCTTTTGTTTTATTCTTTTTAAGTAAAAAAAAAAAATTGGTGGTTGTGGTAGCTCATGCCTTTAATGACAATAGTCAGAATGCAGAGGCACACAGGTCTCTATGAGTTTGAGGCTAATCTGGTCTACATAGTGAGTTCCAGGCCAGATAGCCAGTCTTATGTAACCAGCTTCCCCCACTTCCTGTGCTGGGGCTTGAACTCAGGACCCCTCTCACACTTTTTAAAAATTAATTTTATGTGTACTTGTGTTTTGCCTGCATGTATGTCTGTGTGAGGGTGTTGGATCCCCTGGAACTGAGGTTACACACAGTTGTGAGCTGCCATGTGGGTGCTGGGATTTGAACCCCAGGTTCTCTGGAAGAGCAGCCAGTGATCTTAACCACTGAAGCATCTCTCCAGTCCCCAAGAATTTCTTTTTACTTATTTTGAAATGCGCTTTTCACTCTACATGCTAGTAGTACTCATTAAATTGGAGAGTCGTGATCCCCAACCAGTCTCAGGTCTTACAGCTTCGTCATTTAAGCTCTCGTTTGCTACTTCTCACCTCTTTGTACCTTATTCTGGACAGGCTTTTCTGATTTATATTCTAGTTTATTAATTCTCTCTTCAGATGTCTATAATCTGTTGTTTATAAATAATGAGCTGAATTTTAAATTTATTTACTCATAGGATTTGTAATTTCCAAACAGGCAAAGTCATTTTATATTGTACATTTCCTTACTGGAGTTTGAAACATATTTCTCATTATTTAAAATATATAAACATAGTTATTTTTTAGTTTTTTTTTGTGTCTGGGGTCTATTTAGTATGTATTGTGATATCTTTTGATTTTCTTTGAAAGATATTTAATTATTTTATATATACAAGTATTCTATCTGCATACCAGAAGAGGGCATCAGATCTCATTATGGATGGTTGTGAGCCACCATGTGGTTGCTGGGAATTGAATTCAAGACCTCTGGAAGAGCAGCCAATGCTCTCAACCTCTGAGCCATCTCTCAATCCCTCTTTTGAATTTTTAATGGATTTTTTCTTTATGGATTAGTTTTTGGTGATTATTGACTATTCATTTTCTTTAGATCACATTTGTGATCATTCTTTGAAAACTCGAATATTGGCCACATCGCAATTAGTATCAAAAGGGATATTAATATACGTTTCCTCTATTATTCTGGAGGTGTTAGGAGTTTGAGATCATTTTCAATTACGTCCTGTGCTTCAGGATTTATAGACCATGCTGGTACTATGAGCATGGGCTATAATTAGTATGAGGTGCACACTAGGCTCCATTTCTAGAGCACCAGAGATGTTTTCTCCCTTATGTTGGCTGCTCAATACTGAAGTTGAAGAAAGGTAAAGTTTTGGTTTCTTAAAAACCTCCCCACTTTTTGTGGTTGAAAGGCATGGATTTTTTTGGTGGTTCAACTTAATTGTGGAGTATCTTTTCTGAAACTACCAGGTATTGTTCCCTTCTAATTATTCCACTAATCAAACATCTTTAGCTTGAAAGTTTGCTGTATCTCTATCCTTACTTTCCTAGTTAAAAAATACTTTTAATTTTTTTCCCTTAAAGACAGGATTTTTATCGAGCTGGTCTGGGGCTTGATAGGCCACTCAGGCTGGTCTTTAGCTTCCTTTGCTCCTCTTGTCTTAGCCACTCATGTTCTGATATTACAGGTATTTCTCCATGCCCACACACACTTAGTTTTAAAAATTCTATGTGTATTCAAAGTTGAGAATTAAAAAATACTTGATAAAGTTATTTTTATGATGGTCAGCGTAGATACCTCGTTTGTTTATTGTTAAAACACAAGTAGTATGTTCATATTTTTCTTCTTCTTCTTTTTTTTTAAAGACAGGATTTCTCTATGTAGCCCTGGCTGTCCTGGAACTTGCTTTGTAGACCCGGCTGGCCTCAACCACAGAGATCTGCCTGCCTCTGCCTCCCAAGTGTTGGAATTAAAGGTTTGTACCACCATGCCCAGCTTATGTTCAGATACTTCTAAAACAGAATAAAGTATAGAAGTTGGTAGCACTATAAAAGACATGGTGTATCTGCAATTATCTAAAGTATTAATAATATTCTCAATTTTTAGATGATTTATTAAGGTGATAACTAGATATATTTTGTGTTTTTACTTCAAAGTTTTAAATTAAATAAGGATTTGACATAAGCTTATGAACAGCATGTTCCTGTCTTACAGAAGGTGTGCCCCCAAACTTACAGTATAACCTTTGATTGAGGTGACGGAGGGACTTCAGGACCTTCTGTTCTTCAGCTGACACTGCACAGGTGTTGGCTGGATGGGTCTTACTCAAGGACAGATTTGGTTTCTGTAGTGGCTTTCTGTTTT